TTATCACCATTTACTTTTCACATGAACTGTATTTAATAGGGTCGTTTTTTTACACTTTTAATTTAACTGCTTAAAAAGTTTAAAATTCTTGATCGTTATATTAGAGAATAAATGAGCCAACTGAGCAGTTTTTGTTCTTCTGAAACTTGTCTATTTGAAGTTTGTTTCTCTTTTGTTACTTTTGGTGGTCGTAGATGAATTTTCGTTGACACGGTTTAAAATATTTCAAAACTACAAATGATTATTTTTAATTATTGCTAACTTGTAATTTCTGCCGGAATGAATATATCTTTACAAATGCTTGAAGTGTCGTAATAATTAATTTGTTGACATACGTCAGACCAGAAACTTGTATAATTCGAGAATGGAGTTTTCAACCTGGGTACGTTTTTAGGTATAGAGTTGTGTACATGTCGAAGGGGTTGGAATTCTTGTCTTCAGTCATTTGTTTGGACGAAAAAGCTGACTGTAAAAGAAAGGTTTTATTTTAAAATTGTGCAATTCTTTAAATTGGAATATTCGAACACAGGATTGGAGATAACACCTCTTTTTATATGGAATAATATTAAAGGGTGAGTTTGAGTAAAGTTGGTTCTTCACAGGTTTTTGGATTAATTTTTTTTGAAATTCATTTTAAGTTAAAAATTTATGTGCAGTTAAGGAAAGTTAAAAAGGGTTGTAAAGTTTTTATGTTGTACATATTTAATCACATTATTTCAAATGAAATTATTGCAGGTAGTCTGTTTTACCCCGGTGGTTTTTGTGTATTTCGTATTTTGCCCGGTGACTTATTATTTTGGTGTACGACAGAGTTTATAATTTGCATTAGCTTACTTTCATATTCGGGTATAAATTTAACAGTTAATAGTAGAAGCGTATCGATGAGCAGTTCGCTTAGGAACGCGAAACAGCCGAAAATCACCACTGCCGTGACTAATCATGCTAATTCGGAACCGAAAAGGCAATTTTCAAAAACCCAGTTTTGTTTGATTTTTTAGTTACCTGTACTTCTATTCGTTAGAAGATCATAGTTTATATGCTTTTTTTTCTTTTGTAAAAATATAACAATTCGATCGTCTTAGATTTATTTTTAGACGTGGTCGAAAACCAGCTGTAAATAAGGCTCGCGAAAGTGAAACTGTTACTGAGTTAACTCAGGAAACGGCACCCATTGATAGTCAGAAGACAAATGAAGAGTCATTAGAGAAAACGGATGACAGAAAGTCAGCCCTCTCACAAAATGCCACTGCCTCACATGGTTTGTAACAAAATCTCTTGGCTTAGTTGGGAATAGTTTTACTGTATTTCAAGGGTACTGATAAAGAAAGATTTCTTTAAAGGTTTGCAACAGAGCACACCGATGGCTTCCTCTGATAGCGGCATAGAATCTTCAGCTGAAATAGATACGGAAATGAAAGATTCAACTTGTCGTGATGATGCAGCTGCTTCACCAAGTGATAGTAGCAGTGATGACGCAATTGCTGGTGGACACTCAAATTCACACGAAGATCTTATAGTCTGCGGTGATTGTCATGCAGAATTTTCTATATCACAGTTTAACGCGTTTATCGAGCACAAGGTTTTTATTTTGGACTAATAAACCAAGTTGCAAACATCTGAATATTATGGCTAAGTTACAAAAATGCATATTGCGGTTCAGGTGGCAAGATGCGATGAGAAGCATTCTCCTGATGATCTTTTAAGTTCGTCACCCGTGCATTCTGCTGTGTATAGATCTGGAAGACAAGAGCAAACGTTTTATAATCATCTAAATGTAAGGCTAAACAGTTGTAATTAATTTTTTGTGTTTCAAAGAGTACAAGAGGTTTTTTCCGGAATGACTAATGGACCTTTCAGATTTGTTGTAGGTTCCAGGTTTCTGATAACTGTTGGTAGTAAGGGGATCTTCTGTTCTTATTTTTGGCTTTACGACTGAAGTTCAATTTAGGATTCATCTGCTTCTCGTTGTACCCGTTCATCCTCGGATAACCCGGAGATAATTTTAATGCTCAACGGTGCGCGACGATATTGCAAAGATGCTACCACCAATACCGCAGAAACTGGTATAACTCAGTCTTAAATTCAATTAAATGTAAATTGAATTCTTTAGTAACATGATTTACTGTAAGAATCAGTTGTCATGTACTTTTTGATTTCTTTTTTTTTTTTCTTTTTTGCTATGGCTTTCAACGTGTTAGAAATTTGGTCTGAAGTCTTATTTTTGGAATAATTGTTTTTTTTTTGTTGATATTTTTGGCAGTGTCGTTTTCGTGCGTTATTTTTTGTATAGTTCTTCAGTTAAGTGTGCTCAGGTCTAGGGTTTTGCTAAAGATAATTTCTGGTATTTCCCTTACTTTGTAGGCGAGAAAATTTGACGCCTAGAAGGTGTTCAAGCATTTCTGAAGCTTTACTTAATTTTTTTCAAAGTCTATTCAAGAAGGGGTTAGTTGCTTTGATTTTCTATGTCTGGCTCGCAAATTTCTGTTTGCAGTGTTTCATTTTCTTTTTAATGGGATTATAGTTTTTGTGGCAACTACCTGTTGGTTAAGAGTATTTCTCACGCAGCTTTTTGTTAGTAATTTTGGTTTGCAGTCTTCAGTTTAATTTTGTTAGACAACTCATTTATGCTCATTTTTTCTCAGAACTCTTCTGTTTTCGTTCTGTTTTTATTATCTTAATTGAAGTAGAAAAGAAATAGTTTTTGTGCATTAAATTTTTTGACAATCAGGAGGAATGGATGGGCTGTTTAATGTATAGGTTGGTGAAATATCGTTCTCTTATCGCTTTCTTGTACCTGAAAGTTCATTCTTTTTATTTCATGTGATCCCAAAATGGGAGTTTTTTTTAAATAATAATCATTTTTTTCCCTTGTAGATTAGAATGCAAAAAGCCATTTCAAGGTCATCGGAAGCACTTTAGGTCATTGAAATTCTTTTCTGATGGTCACATTTGAAAGTTTTAGATTGGTTATGATAGTGAAAAATGTTGAAGGGATCGGCCAAAATAATTACATACATACCTTTAACTTTTCTTGTCAAAAATAGATATTTTATTCGAACAGCTTTTTAACGTTTTTGACTGGGTTATATTTTGTTACTAACAGGATATATATTATGTTCAGTTTATATTCATTTATTAAATTATTGAGAGTAGCTTTTTCGTATAATTTTTACACTTGATATCAATTTTCAGTATTGTATCAGGTAGGGTCTTTTTACGACTTCCGGCTAATTCAATGTAACGGAGTAACCTTTTTTTGAAAACCGTGAAAGACCATACTTTTGGTTGTTCCAAGTACGGTACTGTCAGATCTATTTAAAAAAATCTAAATAGTTTATTTCCAGGAAGGTAGAAGGGACCTTGCAATTTTTTGATTTTAATCTCGTCGACTTTTAAACCTCTAATATTTTCTTCCGTTGTTTTTTTTAAAAGATTAGTACACTCGCTGCAATTTTCTTTTTTTTCTTGCTTTTTTCGGTAGTTGTTATTCAAGGCGCAATCGGCAAATAACTTGGATGGTTGAAGGTGTTTTTTAATAATTTATCCCATTTGAGACTTTGTTTTTGACATGCATTGATGTATCATGGCCGCAGCTCATTCGGTTTTTTTTGATGTGGCACGTTTCGTGCACAATTCGTTTATTTTCAAGAATACGTGATCTTAGAATGGAAGCTAACTTCCCCGCATACGGTTACGGACTGGCTGTTTTTTATGTGTTTCTTTTCGCCTTTACATAATTCTTGTGGGAGGTATTTGTAGTGGTGTTGATTTATGTGGTTCTGCTAGTCCTTCTTTTAAAAGATATTCAAAAAAAAAAAATTTGACGCTTGTGAATCACAGAAGTTTGAAGTGCCACGCAGCACGGGTTTAACATCGTCAGCTTGGTTGTCTGCAAGGAAGTTTGTATTGTTGACTGTTTATCTTTGTGGAGGCCTATTTTTTGGATGTATATTGCATATTTGGAAACAGTGAAATCAAAGAATTGAGAGAACTGTAACAGTCCGGAGAAAGCAGTATTTAAAAGCAGTGCGAAGAAGAAACATCTTTACTGTTGGTATTCAAAAAAGCAGTCGGTATTGTACTCTTCTGTGTTTGGATCATTAAGAACTTTTCCAGAAGCTGCCGTTATCTTCTTGCCAACAGCAGATTTTGAAGGTCGCTATACATCGTTTTTTAAGGGCTCTCTTCAGCATATTATTTCCATATTTGTGGTCGTGCTTCAGGTTTTGATTTATAGGTGTTATAAAGTTAAATGGTTCCATATATTATTCGATTTTTCTAAACATCTATCAGCTTTCAGTCTATCATGTAATTTTTTTTAAAGCAGTTCTACGACATGCATTCATATTGTCTTTTGGGTCTATGGAACGTGTTAGCTAAGACTTGTTGAAAACAATGAGCTTTTGTAGTTTTACAAACGGTATTTCTTTTTTGTCTCTAAATATCGGCTTGCTTTCTGCTTATAAAAAAATTTTTTTTCCTGCCTGTTTTTATTCATTTTTTTACGTCTGGAGACTGAAAAATTGTGTAGTGGCGTCTTCAGAGCTTATTTAGAAAGCTTGAGGAAATTTTTGTGGAAGTGGTATTACGGCTTCCAATCAGTCCTCCCATTGGCAATGATTACATTAAAGTTAGGTATTCTTGCTGCAGGAAGACTTAACGAAATTTTTTGCCACTTTATCTGGCAGTTACTTGAATGATACAGTCCACAATAGTTGAATTTGGAAGTTGCTACAAGAGATATGTTTTTTTTTTTTTGATTGGGCGATAATTTTCAATTTTTTCGGCTGGATATGTTAACAGTGCCTGGAGAAGATGTCGAAAAAAATGAATAGCTTAGCACTCTTGTGGTGCGTAGTATGTCTTTTTCCAAATGTGGATTGTATGTTTTGGAAATTATGCCCCTCTACAAGTTTCTGTTCAATTTCTTTGGCTTGTCAGAGGAGCGATACTAAGCTTTTGTGAAATGACTTGAAAAGTGGATAGTTGAACAAAAGCTCCATTTACTCCGGAATTAAAATTTGATTTCTGATTACTTTTGTAAATTTTGACACATATTGATGAGAATTCACCAGGTGAATGTTTACCCAGATTTTAATTTATCACCTTGATGGACTTGTAACTACCTTTTCTTACAACTAGTAGGGGTATTATCTTTTTTTTCCAAAGACGAACAGAAAAAAAGTTGTTTTAAGTTATTTATTATAAATGCATGTTTTATGTATTTTTAACTTCTAGTTACTCGTTTGATTTTTAGCTTGGAAGCTTGGTGACAGTGGGTATTCTGGTTCATTAACTTGCAATTCCTGCAGACAAGTTTGTTGTGACGTTTGGAGTCTGATTACACATATTTTTGTCGCTCATGGACTACGGATATGTCAAGTGTGTTTTAAGTGAATTTTACAATAAAGAAGTATTGTTTCTGTTAAAGGTGAGGAGACGGCAGCCGTAATCGCATTTCTCACTTTCAGGAGGATTTGTCCTCGCTTCCAAGTTCACTGCCTGCTAATGTACCAGGTCTGGCAGGTCAGACTTCAAACTCTGCCATGCTTTTGACCCCGAAGGCTTCTGTACCAACTTCTCAGTGTTTAACCCATTCACCTTTGACGCCACTTTCTACACGAAATAAAGGGAATGGTGCGTATGGTCATCGTTTTTTTTTTTTTTTTTTTTTTTTTTTTTTTTTT